CTGCTACCCCTGCTCTCTCTGCACTTATTACTTTGTATCGCCTGCTTGCATGATTGATAGTGCGTGCCCCACAACCGATCAAGCCAGTAGGATGCATGCTCTAGAATCCGGCACTAATTTGAATTTGACTGTTTCGAGTGCTTACCTTGAGAATATATATATAGTGTGAGATGGGGTGTTCAATGTCACATTAATTCTGAAAAGTATCGCTCTTGAATGGTGTCCTTTGTTTGGTTACCTCACTTATTCAAAGCTGAGAGGTGATTCTATGCTCTTCAGGTAACCAAGTGCTTTGGCAAATCAACCACCCATTGTAACTAGTGTGCACAGCTTGTTCTTCATCTTTCTTGGCATGTACTAGTCCCCAACCCATTCCAGCCTTTGCTGCCATACATAGAATACTTCTAGTCTTATTCCTGTACCTGTTATCGCTTACAGCAACGGGAAACCAATGGTAAAATGCATTGGAATTGCTTCCATGGAGTGCATGAACTGGAGTGTCACTTTGTTTGTGGGACATTTATATTACCATCACTTGCAGGTAAATATGAGCATTGCTATTCTGCCTATGTCCGCAGAGTATGGTTGGAACCCACAGACTGTTGGTCTCATCCAGTCATCTTTCTTCTGGGGCTATCTCCTAACTCAGGTCGGTAACAGAAATTCTTGCTTCGTGCAACAACTCTGTATTAGGAATAAAAACACATAGCCCCGTTTTCATTGCAGATAGCTGGAGGGATATGGGCAGATACTGTTGGAGGAAAGACTGTCCTTGGTTTTGGTGTGGTTTGGTGGTCCATAGCTACAGCTCTTACTCCTGTTGCAGCGAAGCTTGGCTTGCCATTTCTTCTTGTTGTGCGGGCTTTCATGGGAATTGGTGAGGTAAGCCTTGATTACTCACTGATTTACAGCAACTCGCCAATTCCTCTATCATCCAAATTTAAAAACTTCCTGAGGGTATGAGTGATAGACTGATAGTAGAGTTCAATGTACAGTGACTTCTCCCCTAGGCTTCTTCCTTTTGCCTGAAGGAATTACCTTTGCTTCCTTAAAATGATTGTTGTGCTTAAGTTAGTGGTTGTAGACCTTTGAAAGTTAGATTCACAGGGAGCTATGCACTCCTGCAGTCCTGTTCTCTCACTGTTGAGAACTCATCGTGCCCACGAACTTCTTCCAGTTGCTTAAACCTGCATGTTTTGTTATTTACATCATTGATACACTTGTCTGATAAAACATATACATTCTTACCTTAGGGGGTTGCCATGCCTGCAATGAACAATATTCTTTCAAAATGGGTCCCTGTATCAGAGAGGAGCAGATCATTGGCTCTTGTGTATAGTGGAATGTACCTTGGGTCAGTTACAGGACTTGCATTTTCCCCCTTGCTGATACATAAGTTCGGTTGGCCATCAGTCTTCTATTCATTCGGGTCCCTAGGGGCTGTTTGGGTCACGACATGGGCAACCAAGGTATTCTTATCTTCAGGTGTTGCATTATATATATGAAATTCTTCCAGCGATGCAAATGTTGTCCTCTGATCTCGTTGTATCATCTTTGAATTTTATTGCACTTTTCTTTTTAAGGCATATAGTTCCCCACTTGAAGATCCTGGAATCAGCACTGCAGAAAAGAAGCTTATTGCTAGTCAGAACACAGCAGGCGAGCCTGTTAAAACAATTCCGTGGAGATTAATATTATCAAAACCACCTGTTTGGGCACTTATAGTTTCTCATTTCTGCCATAACTGGGGAACTTTCATTTTACTCACATGGATGCCCACATACTACAACCAGGTAACACTAAACATCAAATTTTCCACCTTGAGATCATGAACTTTTGCCGTTCGTGCATTAAAAAGTTGCTTTGAAAACTTTGAAAATAGGTTCTGAAATTCAACCTTATGGAATCTGGCCTTTTCTGTGTTCTTCCCTGGTTCACGATGGCAGTTTCTGCAAATGTTGGTGGTTGGATTGCAGACACACTTGTCAGTAGAGGAGTATCTGTGACAACTGTTCGGAAGGTAAAGTGCTCCCTTGTCTTCAACTTCATAAAATTGGGCACTAGATTTTAGACAAATCCTGAATTTTACGCTCCACATAGAACCATCAAACTGAAACTGTATAATGAAAAAGGTTAGTAATCACTATGCATCCTGGGTGATGAAATTTCATCCAGTGGCCTGATGAAATTTCTTTCTCTCACGCATACTGAAGAATTTTCTTTCCATTGTGTCATATGTATTTTCACGTTTGACAGATCATGCAATCAATCGGATTCTTGGGGCCAGCATTTTTTCTAACTCAACTAAGCCATGTCGACTCGCCTGCCATGGCGGTGTTGTGCATGGCTTGTAGCCAGGTAATTATCCATCTTAGCCATTTTTTTAGGGTGAGAGAACAACACGGTTTCATATAACAACCTTTCTTTAAGATTTACCATTGTGTTCTGAGCATAGCATGTTGATTGCATTATGTTTTTTTTCCAATATCAGGGAACCGATGCATTCTCGCAGTCTGGTCTATACTCGAACCATCAAGATATAGGCCCTCGATATGCAGTAATCTCTTCCTCCATGTTCTATAGAGCGTCTTATTTCATGCAAAATTTATAAACTCGTTATTGTTGTGTGCAAAATTGGACTTTACCGTGATAGTTGAAGGTTGAAAATTGGACTTTACCCTAAATGTAACTGAATCCATGAGGCACTAATCTTTGGTCTCCTCCTGTCTTTCAGGGTGTACTGCTTGGTCTTTCCAACACAGCTGGGGTTTTAGCCGGTGTATTTGGCACAGCAGCAACAGGATACATCTTGCAGCATGGTATGGCCTAATTTCACTCTTGTGCATTTCACACTAGCAACCAACTTTTAAAACCCAGATCGTTTGATGAACTCCACCTAAAAAATGCAGGTTCTTGGGATAACGTATTCGAGTTATCGGTAGTGCTTTATCTGGTAGGGACTTTGGTATGGAATGTATTCTCAACTGGCGAGAAGATTCTTGATTGAAGGATGTACATAGCGTGCTTACAGTTTGAAGTGACATTCATTTCGGATGGCCAATGGACACAGTACACTTCAAGGCAACAAATGTGTCATCGTGCAGCTCAGCTCTTGAATGAGGCAACATTATTCTAACATCAATACATGCAATGCCCAGCACGAGAAGTATCAAGTCTCGACATCCCAGCACGAGACCAGATGAAGCATGGATGAGTTGAGCGATGCACCCCTTCCGGACATGCCACTGTATAGTGTGTTGAGCATAGCTGCATAGGCATCATGTACAGAATAGTAGAAAGATTCACCATACACGGTAGTCTTTTTTGACTTGTATACACTCTTTTCCTCTTGAATAGCTTGTTCCTGTAACAGCCCGACGTAGATCAAAATAAGGAAACCTGGGGAAGGGGCTACTACTAATGCAAACATTTAATGAATATTTATCCATTTGTGGTCTCAGTTTTCACTATGGCAAATTGTTACAACATTTGTATCACTGTTTGGTATTTCCTCAAAGATGAAGTGACGTTCAACTTGAAATGTTTGACCATAGGAATTGAGTTCCTCAAAGATGAAGTACAGTTCCCTCAGTACGTAGTGTATACCTGGCTATCCTATCCCGAAGGGAAGCATTACAGACCAAAGCGAAAACCAACTGAAACTACCAAAATGGCACATAACATTTTACACGGTTCTAGTTCATAGATAAACCATACCGTAGATTGCAGTGTCGGTTCACTGGACCATCAGTCCAAGAGGTCTCAGCTGAGCTACAAGACTTTGATAAGACTATTTACAAGGCGTGAGTTGCCACTTGCTAGTTGCCACCCAGTTTTTTTTACTTGCAAGCATGCTACAAGCTACCAATACCAGGCTACCTGGCAATCTGGCATGCTTTTCTACCAGGTGCTCCAATAAAGTTTTGATCCGCTGATGTCTATGTCACGTGTGCGATGAGCTGCTTGGCACCTTCAACAGTTTGTGTCATACATTGCAAGCCCTTGTAGCTCCGGGCCTTCCATCCTTGGATTATTGTCGAAGCTGCAGTGAGGTAAGACTGGTTTAGAAAAGATGACGGGTAGGACATTTGTTTTGCTTATCTTGTTTTGCATATAGATAAATGATTTGTAAACTTTCACATAATCACATTACAGCTATCTCTAAGTGACAGCGACCAAGTGAGCAAGTGAAACTAGTCCATACATGTCCTCAAGAAATCAAAAGAAATAAACACATCGTAAACCATATTATGTGTCACTTAAACTTCATTCGGCATATAAATAAATCAAGTGGGCAATCTGTTGTGGACGCCTTCGTAGGACGCCAATATAGGCACCGGCCCAGGCCCAGCCGTGGCTAGAGGGAGGGCTGGGCGGTTTAGAAAGTAGAGGAAGGGGAGGATTTTTAGGAGATTGGTTTGGGTTTGTTACGAAGGTGATCCTAATCTATAAAGGACACCAAGTCTTGTAATCAGAATTATCGAAGAAGGAATAAACCTCCCAAGGTGGGTGGGTTTCCCCTTCGACGGTGGCTGCGAGCGTTTCTGCCGCTGCCGCCGGCGAACCACCCGCTGCACCACTTCCTCGCTATCCCCTGCGTTCCAATTCCCAATCCAGCCTGTTACTCCACTCTCCCCTGCAATCTCCTCACCGTACACGCCCACGCCGTAACAATATGGTATTGGAGACGATCATTATATATCTTTTTTTTGCGAGGAGACAATCATTATATATCTAAGTCTGATACACAGATGGTATAATCCATGAAAGATCACGGTAGATGCTGAGTATATTTTCTATCTAACATTCAGCAACATAAAAGATATCAGTAAACCTCATATCAGACATAAACTTAACTGAGGTTCCTCATAAAAACGACTTTGTAAATTCAAGTGGTATTAGTTTAAGGTTGTCATAATAGCATGGCTCCATGCTAATGGTCCTCGTTCTCTAAAATATGAAGAATATGCAGAAAGGGCAGAAGGCGGGAAGCAAGAAAATCAGTATTTAATGGTGAATTTACAAGGAGTTTGTAGATCATACTTGCTCAATGGTACGTGCTCAAAAGGCCCACTAGTTGGGATTGTGCCGCAAAGATCATTGTTTGAGACATCTCTGGAAGCATGCACATACAGGATAAGGTTATTAACATGTAAAGAAAGACATGCAATTCAGCAAATACATGACAGGAAGCTGAAAGACTTACATCACTTTGAGGTTAGAGATTTTTGTCAGTTCCCGTGGAACTGGACCAATCAAGCGGTTGTCATTAAGTCGCCTACAATGCAAGAACGTGAAAAGATGACAAAAGACATGATTAAAATTATACCGAGTGCCACAGACTGTAAAGATAGAAGGTATGGTTGCATTGCGTTCGAACTAAAGTATCAGTTCTCACAGGAATACTAAGGATTTTAGCTTGCCAAGTTCTTTCGGTATGGTCCCTGTGATGTTGTTGTTATACAGGTCCAAGCTGATAAGGCTCTTCAGATTCCCAAACTCAGCTGGGATAGTGTCCTGAATATTATTTTTGTAGAGTTCTCTGCAACAATTAAGATGTAAGAATGATGTCAGAACACTTATACCAATGCAAATTTCAACCACAGTGGATTTAAAAACACTATTGAGAGTTTAGTGGATGATCAGTGCAGTGAGAGAGCATTAACTAAAAGATTAAGCATATATACAATAGAACACAATGAAACTATTTCTGTATCATAATGCACCACCTAAATGCTGAGTAATGAAATATCAGATGACAATAGCTGTAAACAAACAACTCCTGGAAAAACTACTGAATTTTCTGTTTCAAATGTTTCAAAACTCTGGTTTCCACAGATGGGATTGAGCAATGCCCATATACCAGCCAGCTAAACTGCAGACATGAAGGGACAAATGGGAGGATTTTTTTTTTTTTTGGCTACTACTGGTACCACTGCATGCATGTTAAGAAGTACATGACATTTTGCCACTTGCCAGCTTCTTAAATTGGTTTGGTTTCTCTGCTATCAAATATCAGCAGCATTTCTCCTTAAAGTTCGAAATTAAGAGCTACAGTGCTTTTATACTGCCCTTCATAAAGGAATTATAATAGTGGAATATGATGTAATAAGACAGATCTTGTAATAAATATCCTATGTAATCCCACACCTACCACAGATAAGGAACAATAAAATATCAGTTAGTATAACTTTCCCTTAATTTAACTTACTGAGCAATTTTTATACAATGGATTAAACTAAAAATTAGAGATGGACAGTTCTCAAGTATTCAATCAGCCCTTTTGCTGGTGGACGCAATGTAACTGTTAGCATAGCAACAACAGTATAACAAGTTCCAAGTCCAAATCCACTCACCATCAAATGCAAATTGACCATGACATTTTCTTGTTTATCTGTTGTCATAGCATTTTTATTTTTATTTTTGCAAATCAACTTTATGAACACCTTGACTGTAAAACTAAAAAGTAATGTTCTGTCATACTCACAGATATTGCAGGTGTTCAAGGTGACCTAGTTCAGGAACAAGACTGCCTGACAAATTTGAGTTACCCAAATCCCTACAAGATACACAAAGTGTCAGGAAGAAATGTACTTAATGAAACAAATAGAGTATAGCCAGTGGTCATGTCATACTCATTTCATACAGATAAATACAGAGACAAATACATGTGGCTGGTTGACCCAGCATTATTTGAGTGGGAAAAACCATAAGATGTCAATTAGGAGCATGGAGGCAATTTGTTGGTAACTTAAGACAGATTATGTCAGCAGCAGCACAGAAATTCCATAAACCCTTTTACCATAATGTTTACAAGTAGCTGGTGCTTAATTATACATTTCTACTACACAGAAATATTTGTATGGCAAATTTAGTGACCCAGGCATATAACATACATTGTGATGTACTATATATGATATGAACTTGTATAGACAGCACAATGATGAGTCACAGTGTCTGGTCATTTCTTTGTTTTCTATAAAGAGAAAACTAACTAATACATTAATCCCAGTAGTCATTAAAACACAAACCAAAAAAGAAGGTGCTAGTTCCTAGTTTGCTACAGATAAATGATGACATATGAAAGCTGCATTAAATGAAACCATTTCCATGAAGCAATTGCTTTCAGCAACCCAAGATATATGATAGCAGCCTTTGGACCTGATAATGTAGCAGTAGGCAATTTATGTGCACAATGAAAGTGGCAGCATCAAGTTGCAGGTAAACCCAAAGCTACAGTTTGCATCAGCATCATTCTATAAGCATGCCATGAGCATGTGATTACAGTAGATCTTGAACCAACATACAAGAAAAATCTATCTAGCTGAGTATACTTTTGACAATTATAGTGAGGGTAAAATTACCATTTGACTAGCATCTAGCCATTGAAGTGAGTGTTCTTTTTCCAAAAGGCGGAAATGAAACAAGATAAGGAGGTCCAGGGCCCTTAGGAATCGGTGACACGGCTCTTGTATGATTGCATGACTAGAATGTTAGTATTATTGACAAACAAGTGGTCAGTCACTCAGCCAAAATTTATTGGGTTGGTTAATGCATAGTTCTATCACGGAACTTGCAGAAACATGAGGGCCATGGGATGAGCCTACGAACCCAATAGCATTACTATTTGCAAGCACATTCAACAACGGAACCAAGATTAACAGGAGCACCCGGGCGTGCCGCGTGCGATGTCAGGGAACCGAGGAGGGGGGCCAGGGAGCTCACACTCGGGTGACGCGGTTGTCGCGGTTGCAGGTGACGTGGAACCAGGTGCAGGGGTTGACGAGCATGGGGTCCCAGCTCTGCAGCACGCCTCGGGGGTCCGCGAGCGCGCGCCGCAGGGCGTAGAGCGCATCGCCCTCCGAGTTGGACGCCAAGGCCACGTAGACAGGCGACAGCACCGCCGCCGCCGCGACCATCAGCACCACAGCCGCCGCCCCGGCCATGAGCTGTCTGGCTAGGGTTTCGACTCCCGGGAGGCGGCGGCGAAGGGGAAGGCCGGAAGGGGCGTGGGGAAAGTGGCGCGGTGGGGCGCGGCACGGCGGCAGTGACTAGCGAGAGTTGGGACAAGGAGCTCGGAAGTGGAACGGGTAAAGAGATTCTTTGCTGTTGCTTCTTGCTGCCTTGGATGGCTGGATCTTCTGCGGCGTGGGCTATCTATTACTCCCTCCATCCATCCCACAAAAGGAATTCAAGTCTTGTTTATCAAGCAAACAATTTTAAATTTAATCGACTAAAGCCTACTAATATTTACAATACTTAATAAGTATTAGTAGATCAAATTATAAAATATATTTTATAATAAATCAGTTTAAAGATATATGCCCTCCATCCTAAAAATAATGTAAATCTCAATTCCCAAGGAGCCAAAGAATCTTAAATTTGACTAAATTTATAGAATATATTATCTACATTTGAATCTCCAATTAGATTTATTATGAAAATATATTTCATGATTAATCTAGTGATACTTATCACGTATTTTAAACATCAATGTTTTTTATATATATTTGATTAAAATTAAGATTCTTTGACTCCTTAAAAAATGAGATTGAGTACATTTTTTTGAGATGGAGGTAGTAAATATTACTACTGTTTTCTATAAAACAACTTAAACTTAAAATTGTTTAATTCTTTACGAAGCAAGTTTTCCTCTTTTTTAACAGAACGAATATTGTATCTATACAACAGCCACGCCTTCAGGACGGGCATGACGTCGAGAACACCAACGTCGCTCGTCCAAGATAGCCTGGGCTTTCACTCATGGAAGAAAGTGTTGGGAAACGACACCATCAACAGGAAAAGTGGCGCCCACGGGCGTCACTGTCGCCAAGGCTTTTGTCCAAAGATCCCCTAGCACCCCTAGCACAAACATCCGGCCAAGACCCCAAACCCTAGCCTGCTGTCACCACCATCGTCGCTGCCTTGCCATCCCACAGAAACCCTTCCAGAGGAGCATCGATGCGCCGGTGCATAGCTGCGTTGGCCGCCACCCCCTCCAACTGGGCAACATGGAATCAGGCTTACCCTGCCACACACGTCACATTGATCGTCATCGCCGGCTCTGGCACCCGCATCCGACGCTGCTGCCCATATTATGAGTAAATATTTTTATAAAAAACTTATTTGGACCTACAAATGTTGATCTTTTTTTTATAAATCTAGTTAAACTTAAAAATGTTTGACTCCTCGATAAGTTAGTGAGATATGCTTTTTTTGGGGGAGGGGACTAGAGAAATAGAGAGTATGTGAATACTGTAACACCCCGGTGTTATGCCTACATTTAGGCACTGCAAATCATGCATATCATGCATCATCAAGCATCCTAATCATACATGCATAATCTTGCATATAATAACTGAAACATTACTTCGAAACATACGAAACATGTTTGTGAAACGTAAATGATGCATACACTTATTAGAGTTGTTTTGCTCTGATTCTTGCTTGCTAGGTTAGTAGAACATGTTTGGCTGCTATTGTAAATCATCTAGCAATGTTTAGTTCAATTTTTGGAGCAATGTTTGTATTCAAATTAATTCAAAATTTGGCTTCAAAAATAAATTCCAAAAAAAATTAGGGTTTTGAGCTAAACGTGAACTTTGATCTTTCAATTCAAAATCTAGAAAGAATTTGGCTGTGGTCCTAAAAGCAAAGTTGTAGAGAATTAAATTCTAAACAACTTTCATTTTTGGTACATTTTCAAAAGAGGTCATTTTCTTGCTCAAAATAATATTTGAAAGATAGCATTTAAAATCCCTTGAAAATACAAATGAAAAAGGATTTTTTTACATTTTGCATGGTAGCCTCGCTTATTGACCCATATAAGCCGGCCAACAAAGCCTGCGCGCCTCGCCTCGGCCCAGCCCAGCCCACCGCGCCTTGCCTGCTTGCCTCCGCGCCGCGCCATCCTCCTGCTCGCCACGCCACGCCGCCACATGACCAGAGAGAAATTCCGCCAGCGTGGCGACCCCCGCCGGCGTCGCCATTGCCAGCGCAGCCATGGGTTCGACACCACACCACGCGCCCGCCTTCACTTTGGTGCCCGTGGCGCTCGCTCACTCCCGCCCGCCCGCTGCCTTCCTTCTCCTCCAGAGCCGAGAGCCTCAAGCTACGCCTCGCGCACACGCACCCAGCGGCGTGATTCACCGCGGTGCTCCTCCACGACCCGACAATCAAGCACCAGCAGACTCGCCTCGCTCTCCGGCACTGGTGCTCGTGGTTGTGCCGTCGTTTGAGCCGAGGTGGCGCTTTTCCAAGCTTCGCGCCGCCGTCGTCCATGGCGCCGCCGTGCTCGCCGCCGCCGTGGGCGCCTCTTCTCCCTTCTTCTCGGTTGTGCTTAGCTTGCTGCTCGTTTTCGCCATGGCCTCGCGAACCTCCTGCGCTCGCTTGCTTTGCTGCCGTGGCCGGAGATAGCCACCGACCTCGTGGCGAAACTTGAAAGCGCTTGCATCGTGCAGCACTTGTAGACTGCCGTGAGCCCTACTGCTGACCCGACCCGGTAGGCCCGGCGAGCAAAGGTACCATGGTAGAAGCCTGCTGCCCGAAGCCGCAGCGCTCCTCCTCGGCGCTTGGGCGCAGCGGGCAGATCTTGACCATGGGCCATTTGTTCCCTTCGGCCGGCCCAGTGAGTGTTTTAAATGAATTGTTTTCAATTTATTCATTATTATTTAAAAATGAAATGGTTTGCAAAATATTTGGATACTCAAAGTTGCTCCAAATTTGTTGAAACAAATTTTGCTAGGTTCCTTATCATCAGATCTACTTGGGAAAAATTGTGCATGTCATTTTTGAGATACTTTTCTATAGGATTTTATTTAATCTTGAATATTGCTGATAACTTGAAAAATATGTAGAAAAATATATAGGCTTCAGAAAAATATGATTCCAAGTTTGTTAATCTTCTTATGTCATGTACTTCCTAGAAAAAAATATGTTTCATGCATGTGCTGTGGGAAAAATTTGAGGTGTAGTTCAAGTACCTTAGATGGCTGATTTTTGTTATTTTTGCTAGAGAGCAAAATTTGTATAAAACATGCATGTGGTAATTTTTGTACAGTCATTATATACCATGAAGAACCTAGGGAAAATATTAATTCTGTTGTTTGACACTTTTCATAGTACAAAGTAATTTCATGCTCATTTTTATGCTATAGCTTGTCATTTTTGTGTAGGATAGTTTACTTATCCAAATGCCATGAAATTTTTATGGTAGTCTGTTTAGGGTAGTATTATGCTACTGTAATTTTCTCAGATTTTTAGGAGCATCAGAAATATAGGTTGCTATTCAAGCCTATTATTAATTAGGGTTTAAGCAAGTGTTGCCTTAAGTGTGATTAAGAAATTAGTAAAGCTTTGGTGTATCTTTGAAGCATTTAATAAAATATGTTGACTTAACATATTGGTAGTAGAAGAGAATGCAGAGATGACACGTGCTTGTAGCATAGTTTCTTGGATGATGTTGTCTACCTTGCCTTTCGACATATTCATTGCATTCATCTCCTTCGATGCACCGATTGCATAGGCACTTACACGCATTGCATCATACAGGATCGCAAACCGAGAGCCCAGTCGTCATTTCATGGAGCCCGAGGAGCGATTCGAGGTGCAAGCAGCGAGGAAGTGCCGTAAGTCGACGAGGAGGACGTTGAAGAACTTCCGAGTGCCCCGATCACCGTCCGAGCTCTTCGAGAGAGAAGCCCCGAGCATCTTTTCTCCGGTTTGCAATGATTTCGTTAAATGCTTTACTTTAAATTGATGCATTACGTTCAGGAGTTGTTTGCAACCGTTCTTTGCATTATACCTTGTTTACCTTTGTTATACTATATCCTTGTTACCACGGTATCCGCAATGATCAGTCAATGCTTAGTGGCTTAGACCGGTAGAAGTCGGGTGATTTTGTCACTGCGAGCTATAGGTGGTTACCGGATCTGTTTGGATGGCTAGGAAGTCATGGTATAACTAAGTGTTAAATGAAGTTGAGACCAAGGCGGAGACTTGCGGGGTTTTGACCGTAGTGTTTCCGTCTGTCGTCGATTAAGGACCGACCGTTGTTGGGCCTCGAGTCATGTTGAACGCATGCCTTACATTTAGCTGGCGGATAAAGTACCTTCCGACCATGAAATGGCCGGGAGATTTTTCGGGCCGAGTAGATTGCCCGCATGCGCCTTTGTGTCGAAGCAGTGTGTGGTAGGACACGGGCGGGATGATAAGACCAAAGTGCGATCGGTCGGCCCCCGGGTACATGTGGTTCCTGGCAAACTCGAGATACCTGGAAAGTTGACTCGGTGATCAATATCTCACTTTAGCGGGTGAGTGAGATTTGTGTAAGGAATAAATCACCAGCTGGTTAGGAATCGATTCGAATCGCCATCGCTCCTGGATAGTGAGCACTTGACTTGAGTTACTTCATCGTAGTAAATGTTTATGGAACACTTGGACAGTTATAGTGAATATGACAGTATGGAAGTTGTTTAATGATCAGTGGTTATCATTAATTGCTTAATCACATGTTTACTCTAGTATAGGTGCAAATCTAGTCGACAAAGTTAATAATAATTAACTTGACAATAATGCTTTTAGAAAGGTTCTTGAAATGCTAAAATGCTTCTTTTTGCAAATGAGTCACCTACCCTACTATAATGCCCGCATAATCCTTGGTGTCATTTATTTTCGGTTATGTCGGGTAAGTCTGGCTGAGTACATTCTCGTACTCAGGGTTTTATTCCCACTTGTTGCAGATGGGCAGATGTACTATGGCTATTGTATCAACTGCCTGTATCCTGCGATGGGTGATGCTTAGGACCATGGGCATGGTCATTCCTTACGTCTCGTCTAATGCTTTTGTTGGAGATGATCATCAGCTGGCACTATATTTGAACTACGTGTGAGTGTGTGTGGTTTTAAACAAATAACTTCCGCTACTTTTATTCGAACTTGTTTTGTA